ATGCACATTTGATATCTTCTACTTTTGTACTGAGAGATAAACATGCATAAGTAGTACAACCCCAGTTGAATGGAAGACTCTCCTGCTAATAGAGTCTTTTGCTTGAATGCTGGAATATCCAATGAGTAAACTGACCATAAAGTTATGTTACTGGGCAGCATAAAAATAATTTGATTATTCCATAGTGGAATGATATACTGCTTTATTTGTTGTTTTATAGGTCCATACATATATCCTTACTATGAGACAGCTTATATTAGGGCCATGTGCAGCCTGCTCCTCACAAAATGCTAAATGAGGTTTGTACCAGTTTAGAGAAATCCCACACAAAGTCCTGCATGCTGTTGTAGAACTGTATGCAGTTGCTATTCCGTTGTCTGGAAAAGGAAATAGAAAATGAGACCCGACAATGAGCTAATACTTGTTCTTCAAATGCTCATTTGACTTCTTGAATGTTTGATGCTGCTCCAGTTTATCCTTTGAAATTAAATTTATTTGACTGAAGTAACAGAGCAAAGCATTAACTTTTCTTCCCATCATGGATCTAAAGAGATATGTCATCTACAGTCAAGTTACAAATGTTGATTATTTCTTTCCCGTCTTCATCTCCTTCACTTTAACAGTCAACAGAAATTTGACAAATATCCAGTTTTTTCTTCAGGATGAAATAGCTTGCCTCGCTGTACAACTACAGTTCTTAATCACAGCTATGCTAGAGGTTCAGTCATACAGTAACTGATGACCAGTAATACACTTCAGTTCTATGTACACACCATCATCATAGCTGTGCTTATGTGGCCTCATCTACCAGGCAGCCTTCTTGTGCCTACAGGAGAAATATATTCACGATTTTAAGCTGTAGCACCAGGGAACAGCACGCTAAGGCACATATATGCAGAACAGGAATGCATATAGGAAGGCACAGTGCCAGGAAGTATAGCCAGTCAAATTGGATACACAAGGCTGGTTTGGGAGTGTTGTCTCCATTGAAGAAAATGCTATGCTGGAGTGGTTACAAGAGCCTAGCTAGGCCTCTGATAGGGAAAAAATGCTATTAACTGATGTAACTAGGCTGTAGGCACGTGCATGCCAACACAAATCATATTTAAACTCTGCCAGTGACCGGTTGTAGTCAATGAGATACTGTGTAGACCAGTGGTGTCCAACTCATGCAGCCCTGTAGGCTGGCATGGGGCTGCTCTGCAGGCCCAATCCAGTACACGGAGCCAGTTAGTTCTCCTCAACAATTAACACTACCACACTTCTAAGCTGCCCAATTTCTGGACCCATGGGGAACCCTGTTGGCTGGATAACATAGCTCCACGGGTGAAATCTGGCCCGTGGGCCATATCTTGATCACCCCTGGTGTAGACAAAGCTTTAATCTGTTCTGGGTCTATGCCAGCAGAAGCCATTATTTGTCTAGTAAGTAGGGCCTGCTTAATTTTTACATTATTCAGGGGCCTGTCTGACTGCATAGTTCAGGAAAGGTTTGGTGCCCATCAACACACAGAAATTCTTGTACTACTACCCAATCATAGGAACCAACAACTACATGCGGCAGGGGAATTGCACAGTTAAGTGTTACCAGTTAGAATCAAATTATTAAGTGTGCTGTGGGCACATCGATCAGTCCATTAGGATCATAGGTTCATCAGAAAACAGGGCTGAATGAGACCTCATGAGGTCATCTATTCCAACCCCTTGCTCAAGACAGAAACATCCTTGACTAAATGATCCCAGCCAAGCATCTATCTAATCTGCTTTTGAACATTTCCATGGATCAGGAATCACAACTTCTCTAGGTAACCTGTTCTAAAGCTTCACCACCCTCATAGTCAAAAAGTTCTTCCTAATCTCCAATGTAAATTTCCTCTGCTACAGCTTGAGACTATTGCTCCTAGTCCTGTCCTTTGTGGCCACAGAGAATAGTCTATCTCCCCTCAGGCATCTGAAGATTTATCAAATCCTTCCTTAGTTCTTCTCTTCACTGTAGCTCGTTGTGCCATTCCTCATAAGTCGTGCTTCCCAGGCCTCTAATCAATTTTGTCACTTTCTGCTGGACTCCATCCAATCCACTCACATCTTTCTTGAAGTGTGGGGCCCAAAACTGGACACAATACTCCAAATGAGGCCTCACGAGTGCCAAGTACAGAGGAAGAATCACTTCCTTTGATTTGCAAGTGACTCTCCTGTTAATACAAACCAGGATGCTGTTGATTTCTTCTGCCACAAGAGCATACTATTGGCTCATATTCAATTTATTCATATTCAGCAAATAAATATTCACTGTCACCCCCAGGTCCTTCTCTGTGGTGCTGGCCAATCATTCCCCAGTCTAAATTTGTGCATGCAATTTTTCCATCTCAAGTGCAGAGTCCTGCACTTGTCCATGCTGAATTTCTTCTGGTTGATTGCACATCATTTCTCCAGTCTATCCAGGTTATTCTGGATCCTAGACCTACCCTCCAGAGTGTCTGCAACTCCACCCAACTTAGAGTCATCCTCAAATTTGCTAAGCAAACACTCAATCCCATTGTCCAAATCATTAATGAAGATGTTAAATGATACCAGCCTCAGGATAGGTCCCTGGGGAACCACACTTGATAGCTCCTTCCAGCTGGACATTGAGCCACTGAAGACTATTTGTTGAACACAATAATCCAATCAGTTTTCTACCTACTTTACAATACTTTTCTCAAGTCTGTATTTCCTTTGTTTTCACAATATTCTCATTAACAAACTGTGTCAAAAGCCTTCCTAAATTCCAGATATAGCACATCCACTGCTCACTTCCCAGCCACAGAGCTTGTAACCTTATCATTGAGGGAAATTGGGTGGTTCAGGCATGCCAAATGCCTGTTATGCCAAATGTCATTAGCCAACTGTGCTGTCAATTTACATCCAACTTTTTATCTGTTTCTCAAAAGTCAGGGTGATTAAGGTTCTGTATCATTGTACTACAGATAAATAACTCCAAACAAATGTAAAGCTATAATCTTGCCTAGCACAATATCTACAGTGAATAGGGTAAATTGGACTAAGAATTTTTTCCTTCCATTTCTGATCCTACTTTTTGATTCATTTGTGCCTTGAAAAACTAATCACCAGTAAGATTCAGGCAATCAGTAACATAAATCAATATTTGAAAAAAAATCTAGGGGAAGCAGAGGGAAGGAAGAAAAGAAGGTTCATGTCAGGCTTATTTATTCTGGGAGGTACGCTAATGAGAACTATCAGGGTCCTTGACAGTTTGGTTGTTTCTGTATCATGGCTGGGACCACACTCCTATGAAGCTGATGGGAATAAATCGAGGAATCCATATTATGCTGAGACTGACTTCTCCAATGAAAACTCTTTAGTCTTTAAATGTAATAAACAAAAGCACTTTACAGATTTCACTAAACAGGGATTCCAGGTAGAGTGAAGAGAACAGAATAGAGAAGGCACCTTGGGTAGGTTTTTTTTTGGAAAATTTGGGTTCATTGAGTTTTAAGAGAATTTCTGTCCCCAATTCTAATCTCTATCATAACCATCTTCCACTATTACAGCTACTAATTTTAACTACAGTAACTTCTCACTTGTACTGCTGTAACTGAAATCAGAATCAGGTCCTTTATAGGAACTTAATATTGATCCCATTAAGGCTGATCTTTGCCTTAAAGTTAATGTAATCTGGTCAACATAAGACAGGGATACCCTACTGGTGCAAGACAAATAAGAACCAATAAGAACCCTTGAGCCTAGACCAAAATATATCCTGAGGGTCTTTGGTAACTGGCACAACTGGAAGCAGCCACAAAGCTCCTTAGGTACTGCCCGGTATCTAGCAACTTGAAGGCTTGAGGAATCTAAAGCATCTTTGTGCCTTACCCCAAACCTGCATCAAGAGGATCAGTCTTGGAGACCTGGCTTATTAACTTTTCCTAGTCTTTACATGGATGTAATCTCAGAAGAGTATAATGACCAGAACCACGTATCAAATTCAAACTTCAGTATTACTGTACTTAAAATAAAATATTTACTATTGGCAAATAGAAAAGGTTGTTTTGGACAAGTGTTTCCTTAAAAAGAGAGCCAGAGAGGTTCCCAATTTCTAACTTTAGGAAAAAATAATGCTTGACCCACTTTAGATGTTTCCTCCAGTCGCATCCACTTACAAGGTATACATTTCTGGAATATCCCTGAAAACAAAAAACAGGTACAGAAAAGAATAGTAAAAATAACCGCTATTTTCATTTTTATAATGTAGACAATACTCTGAGTGGCTCAGGTAAGAGCTAGCTGCAGTTTGTTTTATGTATGACATGTTTTATATTACTGAGATTTTAAATTAATTCAACGTACTGAAATGCCAGCAAAGCTTCTGGGAAAGATGATCTTGCTTCTTTGTACAGTTGTTCTAGATTCTCTTTTTTCTTCTTCTTCCCCATGTTTTATGCTGAGCTTGTGCTGGCAACTGGAACAGATCTAAGAAAAGCAAACAAGAGAAATGTATGATCTTTTTAAGTTCATATTCTGACATGGCTGCGTCTGTGCAACAAACAGATCTGAAATAGAACAAAAGGGTTATTTTATCAGTCGCAACAGAAATACTGAAATAGGAAACTGCAGGCTAAAATGGATCACTTTTCCAAAAAAATTTCATGTTTCCAATTTCAGGTAAGCTATTGATTACTGTGAGAGAGAGAAGGAGCCAGCAGGCTCCCTGGCTCCCAGACTGAGCAGAGGACCAGTGGCCCCAGGTCCGCAGCCCCAAGAAGCCAGGCAGAAATCCCCCTTTCCCAGGTATGTGGGGAAGGGAGGGGCCAGTACTCCCTTTGCCGGCATAAAAGAGAGGCCAGGACCGACAAGCGGGAGCATTGCGGAACCGGAAGGAGGACGTGGAGGAGGTGGAGCACACCGGCGCATGTTGCAAAGGATGCTGCAAGCAACGCTGAGGGCTGGTAGGAACCTCTGGCAAAGGGCCAAGCCCCAGCGGGGTTTTTGAACACAGTTTGCTGGCCCCTGCGGGGCATAGAACAGTTTATTTACCGACCAGGAGCAGACGGAGCCCGGCCGGAGCTGGGTACCGTAAAGACCCTAATAGAAGGGCAGTATTGGACTCTGGGGACTGCAGTCCCTGTAATAGGGGCGCAACTCAACAGTGAGTGTTAACTGTGAAAAGGGAAGCTGATCAAGCCCTCCCAGGGGCTCTTCAAAAGCCAAAAAGGGGGTTCAACCCCTCAGAGGAAAAGTGGGTACTGGAAGACGGCTCCAGACGGCTGGAGCAGCCGCTCCGATCAAGGGAACCCTCTTGGTCGTAGTGTTTGTTTTGATTTTTATTTTCCTGTTGTGGATCAGCTGAGTGGTCTTGTGGCAAAACCCATTGGAACGGGCGAGGATGTAGGGGTGGCAGAGCCCTCAGAAACTCAGGACCTATGTGACGCCGGTGAGATTCATAATTGGATTGCACGCGTCGGACATCTGAACCAACTCCTTTAACATCAAAGTCGTGGCAGGCGAAACGCACGTGTGGGACACTCCAATTACAGGTGATGACACACTAAACCACCAGCAGGTGGCATCAGTCGGGTCCCCGGGGCGCAGGAACTCCGACAATTACAAATATTAATTCTAAAAAAATATCCTGAGAGATTAACAATGCTGTAAATGTACTTACTTATTTTACAAATAGCAGTACTAGGCATCTAATCAACTTTTTATTTCCATTTGGACAATGCAAATAAGTTTATTGCATCTTATTTTTCCTTTTTCATTTTACTATCAAAAACTTACACCCTGGTCCAATTTAGGGCTTAAGTTTCAATCAATTCAAATAACTGTAGGGTGAGCCCGTGCCATTTTAAAGTTTTTACTGGGATTTTATAAAAATAATTCTCTGAAATATTTTTATAAGATTTAAACTTAGGACCTTTTGTTCAGATAACTGAAATGTGCTCTAAACTAGTTTTACTGTAGTATTTGCACTGTTTGCAAGGGAGTGCTGTGCAATGAGTTCCTGACACCAAAGCTGAAAAGTCACCTTTCATTAATCAAACTGAGAAACACGCAAAAACTAAGCAGTATGGATAATGAAAAATAAATTTTAAGTTATTTAAATAGGCTTACTTTATTTAAATACATGCGTGAATTCATCCTTCGAGAGCAAAGATGACCACCATCCAGCAATGGGGGGGGAAGGGGAGACAGAAAGGAAGCAACAAAGGAAAAGGGAGGGAGTAAAGAGAAAGAAAGGAGAGAGAGGAAAAAAGGAGGGAATAGGGGAGTGGGGTGGAGGCTAAGTTGCGTGGGTAAGTAGGTGATTTATAAACCCAATCTTTGCTCTGAACAAATGCTGCAGCAGGGGCAGGAAAGTGACAAGAACTGAACACAAGAGGTCCTCACTTTCCTGGCCATGCACTTCTTCACTGCCTCTGCCATGCTCCACTCTGGACCGATGACCTACAGGAAGGACGGTCACGAGCTATTTGCTCCCACAACTCTGGGTTGATGCCAAAGCTCTTTAAGGACACCTTTAGGGTGACCTTGTACTGCTTCTGTGGTGCACCGTGAAAGTGTACTCCATTTGGCAGTTTGCTGTAGAAGATTTTCTTTAGCAGGTGACTGTCGGGCATTCTTGAAAGGTGGCCAGTCCATCTTAGCTGCATCAGTTTCAATAAGGTATGGATACTGGGGACAGCTGATCTTCTGAGCACCTCAGTGTCTGGAATCTTGTCCTGCCACTTGATCTTTAGTATCTTTTGCAGGCAGCACAGGTGGAAGTGGTTTAGTTTCTTGGTGTGGCGCTGGTAGACGGTCCAAGTTTTGCAGGCATAAAAGAGGGTTGGGAGGATGATGGCTTTGCAAACTTTCAGTTTTGCTGACATTCCGATGCCTCTGCAGTTACAGATTGACTTAGAGTCTGCCAAATGCCACGCTAGCTTTTGCTAGCCTCACGTTGATTTCATCGTCGATGTGGACATCACAGGAAAGTGTGCTGCCTAGACAGGCAAAATTATTGAGCATCAACAGTTGTTGGTCTTTAACTGAGACGTGTGGTTCTTGGGGTCTTGTGCCAGGCACAGGTTGCACCTGGCACACAGGCAGCTCAGGGCTTTGGGTTCCTTTCTACTGGACAAAAGCAGCAGTAGAACTCGGCAGCCCCCTGAGTGACTGAGCAGCCCTATTCAAGACCACCCTCCTCCCCTCCCCTTGAGGAAGGGGCTAGAAAAGGTGCCCCAAACATTAAATAAATGCACACATATATTATTTAAATTAATATAAAATATTGAAATGTAAATATAAAACATTAGTACAAAATATACATATAAAATGCAAATATAAATATTGAAATAAATATAAAATATTATAAATACTGGGAGGCATTTTAATGGCATCCTTTTTAAATCATGTAATGGGTCTGCTTATGTCAGGATGCTCTCAGTGCAGAGAACTCCCACTAAAATCAAATACATCAATAATATATAAATAATGGCAAGACTCTACAAACCTACTCTGATGAACATAATGCTTTGCTACACTGACCTTAACAGGACAAATGATGATGCCAACCACTAGACTTACCTGGAAATGCTTTTCAGATCAGGTGGGGAATTCAAGAAAGACCTTAAAACACCCAGAGAAGACTCCTCCTGTTGAGGCACTGCACTAAAGCATGTGCTTTTGTCCCACTGACTTTTAATACTTAAATACTGTTCCGAATAGGGCTGTGTTCTTGCATAGGGATCTATGTCAGCAGCTAGTAATTGCATTCCTCAGCATGGGTAGAATTTCACATTCTCACAGATCCAGCCAGCAGTCAGTCATTCCTTTGCTAACCATTTTTGTTTTGTGTCACGTTTCTCTTCAGCAGACCCCTTCTAGCTCCCTTGTTAGTGTGTATTTTGCTTGTCCTTCCCTCTCTTCTATTAAAACTATGAGTGTTTGTTATTCACTGCAGCTCTGATATCCATTTTGATTGTTATGATTAGGAATAAAAGGGAGATGCATTTAAACACACGTAAGTGTGTTGTCAATTGCACTGTACACCTCAGGAATCAATGAGCAGGATTCTGTAACTAGGCTGACAGCACAGACTTAAAAAAACCCACAAACAGTCACACTAAAAGGTCACCTAAAGAAGATTCTTCATCATTACATGAAATTTCAGATATCAAATTCAGGCAGTCTGATTTCACAATGGAACAGAAGATACTGCTGTCTCATTTCAATATTAAAATTTCTGAGCTGTGCAAGCTCAGATAGTCAGGTCACGTTCACCTGCTACCATAATTTGCAGTAGATGGTACGCCCTGAGACTGTTAACGCCAAGTGTTGGGCAGTGGTTAAATACCCTGGCAACCTCTAGGGTGTCAATAGCTTCAGGCAGAAAAGCACCTTAGAGGAGGGTACTAGCTTTACCCCTGGCAGAAAAATTGCCCCAGAAGATGGTAGAACTAGGGTCCACTCCATGATAGGGTAGACTGGGCTCTTTAACCCTGGTCAGCAGCCAGTCTAGGAGTGGAAGCCTGACAGACAGACAAATAGATGTCCTCTGCTCCAGCTGCTCCCACAACCAAGCTGGCTCCAGATGTACTGGCACCTGCCTTTCTTTTGAACTAAACCAGCAAGGCCAAGAGGGGGAAACTGGCATGCAGGCAACCCAGGGCCTCCATATACACTACCCAAGCTTTTGCACCCTGGCAAGGTCACTCCAGCTTTGCAGCCGCAGTTGCAGATGTTCAACGAGCCGATGCCTCACTTGGTGCAAATCTATTGTTTCATGAGGCAGGCAAGATGCCTATGTATATGTGTGAGCTTTGAATGCTACCACAGACAACTACTACAAAAACAGGCTTACTCCTAGTTAGTGCTGTAAAACAAGCAGCATTACAGATAACAGGATGGATTCTGTCCCAATTACAGCTCATACAAAAGAAAAAGATATAAAGCCAAAAAAGCAAGGAAAGGAAGTTAAGTCAACTAATTCTAAATACCTTTTACTCCTCCACCTATGCACTTCACTACCATCTACCACAGACTGCAACAGGAACTTCAACCAGTGCTTCTCCATATCCCTCTCTCAGACAACATTTTTCTCCTGAGTCACTGTATATGTCTGATTCAATAACTGCGTTTGGAGGAAGTTGTTTGGTAAAACGTGCATGTAGGAGCAATAGTAGGGTGGTATTCCTAGTGAGGCAGAATTTGGGTTGGACAAAATAATAAAAATCACTGCCTTTGAAAATCTCTTCCATAATATTTCATCTAAAAACACTTTCACCTCCCCAGGTAAACTGCACCTCATGAAATCTTTTTTCTGTTGGGGCTTGATAAATGGCTCTATTAGAAGATCAGCTGTTTTAAATCTGATGCTAGTAAGCGATTCCCTTATCGCAGCTAATTGTTTTTTCTCTGAGTGACAGATCTGTTTCTAACAGTGGAAAGTTCAAAATCCCAGCAGGGACCTGGCATCCTGGGAAGGAGCCCAGATCAACATGTTCATAGTTGTGTTTCATTTCAAAATATTTTCACTGTGGAACCTCTTTGTGATAATGTTGCAACTATGTGACTTTGTGCTGTATGAAGAAATCCTTTTGCTCTCAGAGCCCCCTTGAGGTTTAAGCTCTGATCAGCAGATTTGTCCTTTGTGTGTCCTACCGTTATTAATAAAGTTCAGCTTCTATTAAATTCTCTACTTGATCAACATTTTTTAAATAAGAGAGGCAAGGTGTTGATTTTAAGGTTGATATTTTCCAAGGGGCCTACAAAGTAATAAAATCCCTCTGGAACTGAGCATGTAACTTCAGGAGCTTTTGAAACCACCAGCAAGCTGCTCTACAAAATTTCATCTTTTCATTTCAAAATACAGGACTAAAGAGAAAAATTAAAACCCATTTTCTCTTTTGTATAACTATTGTACAGGTCTTTCTAAGAAACAACTGGTAGCTTGTATCCTGCTCCTCCATTCCCCGATACACGCATAGTTCAGAACTCTGGGCTTTGCTCTAAATGGACAATCCAGTCCTGTGCTTAGTGCTGAATGAAGAAACAAATGGAGTCAACATTTCAAGCAGTAATTGGTAATATTTTGACAAAGTCTGTTCTTGAGATCAGGTGAGCTTCAGTGATTTATTTGTGAAATTCTCCCTGGGAGGGCAACAACACACAATTCTCTGAACTGTGGATTGGGCTGACTAACATCATTAGTAACAGGTTTACTAGATTATGCAAACTGCCCAGAATACACAAAAAGGAGAGGGCGGGGAGCAGAGGGTTGATTACACATTTCAAGTGAGTAGGAACAATTTACAAGGGGAGCAAGACTAATTAATCTTCCCTCAAATAAGAAACCACTAATCCTAGCTTAAACACAGACACTATCATTACAAATGCTTCAAGAATCAGTATAGGTATAGCCCCTTGCTACTATCAATAGTCCCATTGAGCCAGACCCAACCTCTTGCGACTGCTACACTCTCCTGGCACACCATGCCAGTCTATGGCAGCAGTTAACAGCTGAGCCCTATTCATGGTGTTAGCGGTCACTATAACCACTGCCTGACAACTCCCTCTTACAGTGGCTCACTCCCTCTTCTCCCAGCTGCTGACCGTTACCCCCCAACCATTAGCTCATGACCCTCCCTGCATCTCCTATCCAGTGTAATAAGCTTGTGCCCTCAGCAACAACTGTCTTCCTACCTAGCGCCATCACTGCCCTCACTCCTAGTGTCACTTCCTGCATCTGCAACCACCAGCATCTTGGCTGGGTACTGTCTACACTGCCTGCAGCCCAGTGATCCTTGCTGTTGCTGTATGCTGCTCACTCACACCCATGCCACCACTGTGCCGCACTGCACCTTCAGCCACTATCACCAGCACAGTCATCCTCATGCCACCCCTTCACTTGTAGCCACTGCTCTATTCACCCATTAATGGTGTCAGCTGCCATCACCACTGCCAATACACCCAAGCCACCTCCAGCATCACCCCCATGCCTTACACCTGAACCCCTGCCAGCATCACCCCCGTGCCTCACATCCAAATCCCCGCCAGCATCACCCCTATTGTACCCCACACCCGAACCCCCGCCAGCATCATCGGGACACCCCCTCGGCTTGCCACCTCTCTTTGAACCTACCCTGGGACGTTTCATCACAAGACACAACGACATGAATGACTTTACATCAGAAAGGCAAATATACACAGACTTATCACCTTTTAAAAACCCACCGGCCTACGACATACATCGGATTCAACGTTTCATATTTCTTTGAACGAATGCCCTCACATTTATCTCCCGGGTGACTCCAGCACTCTCCTGGAGATTTACTTCTCATTTCTGGAGACGCCAGGGCAGTCCCGGAGGGTTGGCGCCCCTGCGCCACCCTGCACCCCCGCCCGCTGCCCTGGCTATTGTCGCTCCCTCACCGGGACCCCGCGCCCCAACGGTTCCAACCGCCGCCGCCCGTGCGGGGGGGCGTTACCAGGGCTCCCCCGGCCTCGAGCTGCCCCGGCGCCTCTGCAAGGCCAACGTTCCCCGGTAACCACGGCAACGCTCCGCCCCAGCCGGCGGCGCCGCATTGGGCGGGCAGCAGCGGCCCCTGGCGGCCAGTGCGGGGAGCTGCAGCTGTGTAGGCCCCGCCTGGGGGGAGCTCGGAGCGGCTTTGCTGCCGCTGCTGCTGCTCTGCGGTCCCCGCCCTCACCCTCGTGCTGTGGGGAGTGCGAGTTGCCTCTTCCCTGCTCCGTGCCTGCTTGCTCTGCAGTGAGACCCAGCAAGCAGGGATCAGGCTAGCCAAGGAGCCCTTGGTGGGTTGCAAGCATTTGGCCCAAAAGCCTTTGGGGCTGTCCCAAGCTCCTGCAGAAGAAAGGGCGGCTGCCATGGGACCGGGCAGGTGGCAGCATGGGCAGATCTAGGATTTTGAAAAGGGGGTGGTGCACCCTCGCCACAGCAGCTCTCCATCTGCAGCAAGCTAGAAGCTTTCCTAATAGGCCAGGGGCTTAGGACTGGATAAGATGGAAACAAGAAACAACTTGAACTTCCTTGGAATGAGTTAAAAGTAAAATGCCGGGCTGTGGACCAGGAGCTGCATGAGCCCGAGCAGACAGCGGCATGGCAGAACAAAGGGTAGCTCTGCTGGTGGAGTACAGGCAGTCCTTGACTTAGGACATTTCGAGTTACAACCTTTCACACTTACAATGTTTCTAAATTGACACCCTGTTTCAACTTTAGGATGTCAGTTTCAACTTTACAACGCTTGATCCAATGCCACGCCACGCCAGCGAACAAGGTCACTGCATCACTCGTCTCCCTGGAGAACGTCTGTCCAAACTTCCCTGGACGCTTTCTTTAAGACAGCAGACGAGACTTCAGAAAAACCTGCAGCCAGGACTCTGGAGAAGACTCCAGCCAAGAACCCGTCAAAAAGTCCAACCGAGAGCCTTTCAAAGTCACCTCAAAGAATTCCTTCCAAATCGATATGATTGCTATTTACAATATAAATACATTCATGTAGCTATATAACTCATCTACAATTGATCAGTACAAAATTCTGGGGTATTTTTGGTGAAAATAGGGTATCGGGCCTTGGTTCAGGAACCAATCCCAGGGTTGCAGGATCAGGTGCTGTTGACAGCCACACTGAAATGTTTTGACATTGTGATGGGAAGGCAATAGCTGTTTATTTGCACATAGTAGCAGTATGTACCTGGTCAGGTGAAAAAGCAAAGAATATAATTCCCTTTAAGCCCCCTTCCTATAGTAAGGATCCAAAGACTCTCATCTAGGTATAGTATTTACCTGGTGCATAACATAAGCACGCAACAGCATGAAAATTGGATAGTTAGGAACACCCAATCTTTGCCACCTCCATAACAAACATAAACTGCATTACTGGCCTCCATTAGGAATAATTATGCAATGCAAGAATCTTAGATCTGACCCAAAACCCTGCTATGATACAAAAATGAGCACATGTAACCATGGATAGGCTTGACCTATATTTTTTTGCTTGTGTGGACATAAAAGATGTGTTTGTTAGGAAGTCACATATTACAACTATGAAGAGAAAAATATATTTTAATATTTCCTTGGGAGTTCACCATGTGTGGTGGACTGTAACAAAAGCTATAGTTACTTCCTGAACTTTTTTAAAGACATATTTGTTAACAAGCTTCTCTAAAATATAATAGGAGGAACCAGGAGAAATAAGAGGAGAACAAATATGTAAGGAATTTTTTATTACTTTTCATAACAAGTTTCTGAGGCTAGAGCTGAATGCTTCCTTCATTATAGCTTGTAGGTATTGTATCATCATCATCTGTATAGTATTAGTAGTAGTATTATTCCAATAGTGCTTTAGGAACCCCAGTTTTGGGCACAAGGCCCACAGTGCTCTATAACACAGAACAGAAATCCTTGCTCTCTGTTTACCGTCTAAGTATAAAAGACAACAGACAGTCCAACCATTTTGAAGTTCTTGCAGAAAGAATTAATGAAACAGTGTTGCTCGGCATGGCAGACAGTGGTCTCAGCAAAGCAGCAGCCTAGTTGTCATCAAGCTTTTCTGTAGATATTTCAGGAAAGGAGAGCTTTAAGGAGGTATTGGAAGGAAAACACTGAAGTGGCTTTGTGGATATCTGTGGGGAGTTTTTCCCACAGGAAGCATGAGAGAGCACAGCGGTGCTTGTTTGCACTGCCTTACTCAGCCGTAGGAGCCAGGCAGGGCAGTGCCTCATTGAAGTCAGTGGGAATACTGCCATTGAGTTCAATGCAAACAGGATTTTACCCTATGTGTATTATAGCTGTTAGGTTTTAGAAGTTACGTGTTCAAGCGGATAAAGCAGTGGACTGGGACTAGAAATCAAGATATGAGTGACATGAGTTTCTATTCCCAACTTTATCACTGACTTATTGTTTGACCTTGGGCAAGTTGTTTCCTGCTCTGTTTCAGTTTCCCTGTATGCAAAATGGAGATAATGATACTAACATCCTTAGTAAGACCTCTGAGATCCACTGATATAAAGCACTACATAAGAGTTAGGCATTAAAATAATTGCTTTAATATGCAGAAAGGTTATTACATACTATGTGACAAACTGTAGCAATAATAGGAACCGTACAAGCTAGATCCGTGCTCATGATAGTCGCAGGACACTAATCTCATGGTCTTTCTTGAACCCAGTAAAAGGTTGCACCGGGTTCATAAATAATGTGCTTCATTGTAATTATTCTTCCATATTAATGTGATTTTTTTTGCTTCAGTCTGATGATAAAAATGTGAGTGTCTGTTGCTGACCTGTTACCCGCAGCTCTGAGCAGCAAAATAGTACGTTCGGAGTGTCCATAAACTCAGGCATATGTTGCAGTTAACCCACTGTTAGGGGCTGAGTGAGAAGCATTTCTATCCGGCTTGTTGCTGCATTTTACTGTGGGCTGTAGAAAGCCGCCACTCAGTCATGGATATTCTTTGGACTATAGACTGCTCTACAGAGACATTCGACCCACCGCCCCCCATATCTGTCTATCTATCTATCTAACTATCTATCTATCTATCGTGCAACACTGAAATGGTTTAGATTCGTACATAATAGTCATTTGGAGGGCACACAAAGATCATTAGTAAACATGTTTAAATTGGTTAATTAACTGAATTATGCAGTTCAAGGAGTATTTTCATGTAGGTATGAGGGTCTGGTAGAGGAGAGCTGGCTTATGTTTTTGGCTCTGCCTCAAATTTTTTGGATGGTTTTGGGCAAGTCACTTAATCTAGTATGTTGGTGTTACTAGCTATAAAATGGAGATGGGACTCATGTCACAGTGTAGTAAGGAGGCTTTCTGCATTCATGTTCCTTAAAGCTCTTTGAGGTTCTCAGATGGAAATGCAAAGTTTATTATTGTTCTTTATTATTCAGTCATTAACTCTGATCATTTTAGAGTTTTCAGGGACACTGGCAACACCTTTTAGTTTTTACTGTGGGTTTGACTCTCTTTGTAATTCCTTTGAAGCTATTTGATAACAATAATAACAAAAATGTTTTACTCCCAGTTTTCTTCTGGCAAACTTTACAGTCCTGCGACGTGCTAAGTTACTCTGTGCCATACAGACACCCTTGGCTTCATTGGGTGTTGACCTTGAGAGGCATTCAGTGCCTTAGGGTGCCTGTATATGAGCATGGAGGTTGCTTCGATGTGCTGTAATTACAATGTGTTGGAGCAGACTCGATTAATTGAGTCTGCTGGAGCATGGTAATTACTGTGCTCCAGCAGCCTCCCACATCTCATGTATCAGCATCCCTGCACTTCAAAATGGTGGCAGAGGCACTTGAACTAAAGCTCGTTGAATAAGCTTTAGTTCAAGCACCCCCGCCACTGTTTTGAATTACAGGGACCAGTGTTCCCTCTAAGCTGAATAGTGTGCGCAGATGCGCAGGTGCGCTCAACCCATGTTGCCAGGCACACCTGCGCAACCATGCATGCCATGCAGCTTAGAGGGAACAGTGGCGGGGACACGGATACACAAGGCACTGCAGTGCTTTAATTAGACCAGCTCTTGGAGCCACTCTAATTAAAGCACCACCCCTCCACCTCCGGAGCACATGTAAAAGTGCCATTAGACATCAGGTCCAATTATTATTTTCTAATGTGTTAATGCTCCAGTGCTTTTATGTTGACTTCCTGATCCCTAACCATAAGGCTGTGAATTAATGGCCTCAGCCCTGCCAAGATCTACCCAAGTACTTCTAACTGTAAGCATATCAGGGAATTCAGTTAGCTTGTGAAAAGTCTTGAATTGCATGCAATGGGAATATGTATGTGCAAAGTGAAGCATATGCTTATGTCTTTGTAGTGATTGGGGCATGATCTGAAAAACTGATTTAGGCGCCTTCAACCTATAATGATAACAAAAATTCAGTGAGACCACTGTGATCCTTTGGATACTGTCTGTTCCTGGGGGCACCTAGGTTTCTGCTGGTAAAATTCTCTAGGCACTCCATTTCTGTCAGCAGGCATATGCAAAACTGTCTTGACATTGGTGAACTGTTCGCCTATCTAGCCTCTGGGACATGATCCAGTGGGCATTCTCAAAGCACTGATTGGGCTGGGTTCAAAAGACTTTTGGGGCTGGCTGGCTGTGTCCTACATTCTATTAAAAAATTAGGACATGTACTTGGGATTGGGAGATGTGCATTCAAGTTACTATCCCAATTTTTTTTTTTTTTATACAAAATGGAAGAGAATCTGTCCAACAAGAGAGATTGAAAAGGGTTGTCTCATATAAGCCTAATAGTCAGGTATATGGGGTACTTCCCTGACATGTGAAATTCTTGGTCTAGTGACCTGGATCTGAATCAGTGAGAGTGAGAATTGGAAAATATTCCTCCACCTCCCCAGCGAGGGCCCTAAAACACTAACCTAC